GCACAGATAACCAGAATATTACAATAGTGCAATAACCATCACAAAGTAGTTGTAACCTCTAAGTGCACTTATGATTATAGATTAAATGTAGTTAATTTTCTGTTTTGCACACCTTTAAATATAATAAAACGTGCATAAATAATTTTTCTAAAAGCCTTCATGTTTGATTTTTAGCTCTAAATTGACCATTCAAATACAAACAAAGCCATTATACATGATAGTTTTAACTTCTCTCTCTCCAAATGTGCATAGATGAAATACAACTATTAAGGCTTCTCTATATTTTGCATGCATTTATATTTAATGCAATGTGCATCAATTAAAAATGCATCTATAATCTGTACTAGACATTTCTAGACTTTTCAAATAAAACTACAGTATAGTAACTACAGTACCTCTCTTATCATGGCTTCTTCTCTATTTTGTGCATGCATGCTCTTCTACTCACACTGATAAGGGGATCTCCGGTTGGGACCCCCGCACCTCCAGCGCCGTCCAGCACGCGCTCATCACACACAAGAGGAGGCAGCGCGCGTGCATCAGAGGAATTCTCCGGTTCCGCTGCATCCTTCACCCAAAATTTCTCGCGCTGCAACGGAACCGGAACCGGGTCTCTCTCCCCTCGGTTACAAAAACAGCACAGAGCGCCGATTCAGCCTCACATCTGCCCGCCCCAGCGCGCGTGCTGCCTCCGGAGTTTCAGTCTCTCCGCCCAGCTGTCACACACCCCACGACCTCCTGCTCGTGCTCTTTGACATCGATCTGTGCTTTTTATCGCTGCATTAGGGGTATAGAGAACAAACCCGGTTTTAAATGCTTATTTTGTGCACACAGCCTTTCTCTCAGAGCTGATTATCACCAAATTAACTCGCGCGCTCTCACTACTGGCGCTGCTGATATAATGATGAACGACACTATCGGGTCAGTGCATACGCTAAAGGCAGAAGTTTAGGGAGAGGAGAAGCGATTAGAAAGTCATCGAGACAGTGAGGCTCGAAATTTAGGCAGGGAGATCTAGTGCTGCTTCCTCACGCGAGCGCGCACACGAGAGAAGCTGATGCGAAACTTTCCCTCGGCCACGCGCATTCCTCCGTTTGGGGATGCTTTTGCTCTGGTGTCAAGCAGTGATGGGGCATATGGTTCGAGATTACGTATTTTGCTTTCATATTAATCATTTATTTATTAGGAATAAAAAAAAAACAATAATATTACAGTTTCTTATATAAACATTATTATTCATCTTGATATAAGACTAATTTTCATAGCCTATCTAACAGCAGTGCATGATTCTGCATATTGGAGTTACAACTCTTTTGATCACACTTTGCAGTTTATTGAACCGGGGCTAGTTGTCTCAAATGGCTATGTCTCAATAACGGTAAGACTGAGTCAAAAGTCCAATTACGTTTCTAAAATCAGAGTGTTTGTATAATGGTTTAGTTAAAAACGGCCAAAATTAGAATAATATTCATGATTTCTGTCCCCCAAATGGTCTTATCCGAGTTGTAATATGAAAATATGATTCTGGATTCATCAGATTATTCATTGCTATATATGCACCCAAAAATGAAAATCTACACACCACGAGGTCACCCAGGATGTAGATGAGTTTATTTCTTTAACGGAACAGATTTGGAGAAATGTAGCATTGCATCACTTGCTCACCAATGGATGCCCTGCAGTGAATGGGTGCCGTCAGAATGAGAGTCCAAACGGCTGATAAAAACATCACAATAATCCACAAGTAATCCACACATCTCCAGTCCATCAGTTAACATCTTATGAAGCAAAAAGCTGCGAGTTTGTTTTACTTTTAACTTTAAACAATGACTTCATAATAATGATTCCTTTAGTGAAAAAGTTCATCACTGTTGTCCTCTCACATCAAAATCCACCCACATATTTGTTTAGAACAGTTTTTACTTGTATACGGTGCTTGATCTGTGCATATTTCTCTCCTGATTCAGACCAGATGACTTTCACTGGAGAAAGCGATACTGTGGACAAAGGACTCTGGATTTTAACAACAGTTTGACAGATTCGTTTCTTACAAACATGCAGCTTTTCACTTCACAAGACATTAACTGAAGTTCTGTAGTCTGAAGTCTTTTACTTGTGGAGTATCACAATGTTTTTATCAGCTGTTTGGACTCTCATTCTGACGGCACCCATTCACCGCAGAGGAGCCGTTGGTGAGCAAGTGATGGAATGCTAAATTTCTGCAAATCTGTTCTGATGAAGGAACAAACTCATCTACGTCTCGGATGGCCTGAGGGTGAGTAAATTATCAGTTAATTAATGATTATCAAATAAATTACATTTTCATTTTTGTGTGAACTATTCATTTAATGAATAAATACAGCAAAATACACTGATATACAGAATAAGTCAGCCAGATGCAGTATTGCTCCTCATCAATAGATGCCATAAAAGAGTAGATAGTACTCAAAGAAAGTAAGTGAATACGATTTATGACCAGCCATTTCTACAGCACTGACCTCTTGAGCCTGATGCTTAACAATGGCATCCAGGAGTTAATTGCTATTCTCTCATTTTCTCTCTCTCTCTCTCTCTCTCTCTCTCTCTCTCTTTTGTTCCTCTAATTATCATAAGCACATAAATAGTGAGGTGCATCTGCGTGATTGTGTGTGTGTGTGTGTGTGGTACGGGCTCTGATGGATCTGTCTGAACATGGCCTGAGTCTCTGTGCAGTCATGATTAGCTGGGAAATGCATCATACATTGCAGACTCAGCTGAAACAGCAGTGACTGAAGTTGAAGAACACTTGCAATACTGTACGACTGCAATGCTGTTACTACACTATAATGACATTTACAGCATAGCTTCCATAAAACCGTTAAACAGCACTATTGTTTTCAATATTGATAATACAACATTTCCTGAGAATCAAATGCAGCATGTAAGAATAATTTCTGAAGGATCATGTGACACTGAAGACTGGAGTAATGATGCTGAAAATTCAGCTTTGCATCACAGGAATAAATTACATTTTAAAATATATTTAAATAGAAATCAATTCTAAATTGTAATAATACCTTACAGTATGTCCACTGGAGCTATAGATGCACATCCAGAAATAGAAGTCTTTGTTCACTGGTGACCTGTGCTTATAGGGTCCTTCTTTAATCAGAATGACAAAGACAACAATAGGATTAAGAAATTATAGGTCTTTCGGGGGACAGAAGCAATAGTTTTAACAACTCTTGAAGCAAATCTGCTTAGTCTGTGCTGGAGTTCACTCTTGTCTATTTTAATGCAGGGCACCAAATACACATAATCTCGGTCTCATCTTAATGGAAGTTAAAACTCTTAGCAGGGTCAAATATAGTACTGGGCAAATGTGACATCTGGCAGTGAAGGTGCTGAGAGTCACACTGCACAGCTAATCACAGAACCTCTTACAAAATCTCTTATAAGAAACACAGGCACTCACACACCTTTATGAACGGATACAGATACCTGGAAGCATCTTTAAAACAATAATATAAAACTATAAAAACTTAATGCATTGACACAGGGTGAAATTAAGTAAATTATATCACTTTTGCCATTCATTTCAAAGCTTAGACTTTGCTGTTCTAAAAATCTAAAATTCAATAAAATTCAATGTAAACATTTAAAGTTAA